GCAAGTGCACTATAGGCAGTGCACTTTCTGAAGTAGTGCACTTGCCTTGCTTGCTTTTCTTCCGTCGAGCAGGGACCTGTTCCCATTGACCCTGCTCATCTGGGTTGTTATTTGGAGGCTGAGGGGCTTGCTGTTGGGATGATATTGAACCCCCAGCTCCACTAGGACTTGACTCCTGTTCTGGTTCCATAGAGAATACATTGTGGACATGCTCAATTTCCCTTTCACAGTCTTTTGCAGTTCTTAGTTTCTCCACTTCTTCTCTTAATTCCACCACCATGAGCATCAGATCTCTGACCTGCTCGCATCTAATACCTTTTCACTAGTTCTGTGTCAATAGAAAACAATTCCCAATCAATTTGCCATACACATGTATAAAGAGTTGTTTGGGCTTTTCAGAAAGGCTGTAATGAGAGAAGTGGTGTTAACAACTAATAACAGCAACAAATCCACCTAGTCTTCAACTTCATATGGTGCATTTCTCTAGAAAACAAACAAAGAATCCCTCTACCTACTTTTACATAAAGTTTTAGGAGATTATTTAAATACTTCATGGAAATGGAGGTTTCCTTGTATAATGTCTATATTCCTAGCTAGCAGTGCCAGAGGACAAGGGCACCCCAGAGACTGTCAGTGAAATTTTGTGGTTCCAGGCTATGCAGAAACCATTGTCTCATGCTGGAAAAGGGAAAATGAGAATATGATAACTCTATACTGAGATTTATTTTATTAATCTTTGCAGGAGGAAGAAGGCTTAACTTTCAGCATCCAAGCAATGAAAATCAAAAGATGAACTATTTCTGTAACTTACAGAAATTGATACAAAACCCACAGACTTGGGAAGAAGAGGCAGTGGGGGTAAAAAAGAAGGATCTGCCACACGGGACAATGAGAAGAAGATCCAAATAGTTTCCTTGTTTCCAAACACCTGACTGCCCCTCAGACCCCCAAAAGCCAGTACTTACTTCCCATTCTTGCTCTACAGGCTTACCCCAGGTGCCAGTCTGCAAGCAGCATGAAGGAAGCTTTGAAGTATTTCCACCATATCCAGACTTACAGATAGAGGCAAAAGACAGCAGAGAAGTTGACAGGGACCTGCAGAACCCACTTTCTTCGGTCAAAGCTCTGCAGGTTGTCCCTGTGACACCTCTGCTCCCTGTGCAGCCCTGCTCATGGTTATGGTACGCTCAGGGACCTCACTGCATGTGGTGACCAGCCAAAATAAAAGCTGTGCCCCAAGATAACTTGACTGCTAATTAACAAAAAAGCCAACCAACCAACCAACCAACGTCAGGAAATGAGAACACTTTCAGCAACACTTGAAATCACGTGGATTAAAATATGGTCCTAATCTGCTCTCCTTTACAGTTAAACCAGTAGACTAAACCATACTGGTAAAGTATATTATCTTTGCAAAATCCACTTCCTTTTCAATTACATTTAATTTCCACTTCATCTTTCCTTTATATTTATTCCACAAACAACCCATTGTGTTATTAATGATGCAGAGTTCCCCAAATCCATATGTTTTATGGATTTTATGTCAAAGTGGACTCATAATACTTTAATGAGGAAAAAGAATACTATTTTACTGTACTCACATCTACACTACCCAGCCAATACGCCTGCAAGCAATTCTAAATCTTTCAGTAACAGCACCATGGAGACTGCAAAAAAGAAACAGGCATTGCCAGCTTCTTCTGCCCCCTGCACCTCAAAACAATTGATATCTTCCTGCAAGACCTTCTTCAAGAGTTAGTATGTTTGTAGCAAATTGTTAATTCCTCTGTGGTGGTTATACACCCACATACAGGTGTAGGAAATCCTTTAACATTTTGTAACAAGCAGAAATCAGGTAGATGACAAAAAAGGGCTATCAGTCACTTCAGCAGTCAAGTGAATTTGATTCTCCTCATTTTTCTATAGATATTTAGTTTGCCATGTGCATGCTCACAGATTTAGCTATTCAGATATTAGAATGACATATTTAAAGTAGTGAATTTCACATTAGCAATGCAGATGGAGGAACGAATGATCTTGGAAAATTAGATGGTGGAAAGACTGGTGTTGAAGAGTACCATGAGAGCTGGAAATCCTAGACAAAGCAGAGAAAAAGAGTATTAAAGAGGATACAGAATGGGAAAAGCAGAAAGACATAAGTTTGAAGAAAAAAATGCAATAGAAGAAAAGACTCAAAGATGGAGTAAAGAATCTAAAAAAAGCTAAAGTGAAAAGACAGAGATTAGCAGCTAACAGAAACATTAAAATGTTCAGATAGCAGCATTTCATTGACACTAATTAATAAGAAATGTGTTATCATTTACAGAGCTGATGCAATTTTTTCACAGAATAACTTATTGGGGCTGTTGCCCTGTACTATTCCAGCTGTGCCAACCACTTACTGGTAGATTAAGATACCAAAATGCCTGGTTATAACATTCTGTTTAAGCTTTATTATACACACATAGAGACATGCACAGGAAAGTGCTTCAATGACTAATCATAAGATAAGAAACTTGTATAAAGGAAAGGGTAAGATCAGGGAGGGGGAGAGGAGGGATAAGGGAAAAAATTCTGAGAAAAAAAAAGGAGATGTATTCAAGAGACATCAGTCTTGAAATTGGAAGCTCATTAATTCTCATCTTATTTTCAGTCTCTGTGGAGATTTACCATATGTGACAGCTACTTAGACTTGGAGTCCGATTAGAACTGTTTTCCAACTAGTCATCTAAATTACTACCAGAAAGCCTCATCATTTTCAGCAAAGTTTGATGAACTGGTTACCCTTTAACAGCAATGTTTTGTGCACTAAATTGCAACTGGCCTGCTATTTTTCTCATATCACTGCTGACAGATGAGCCTGATTATCATCCTAGATCCACCTTGCTCATGCTCATTTGGACAACAAAGATAGCAACTGAACTGAAAGAAAATTCCAGGAAAAGTAATTGAAGACAAATTAAAAATTTCAATAGATTTTCCTGGAAATTTGCCCACAAAGCATATTTTGTACTTATTCATCTCCATCCAGAAGTTTGAAAGCATATCCCAGGATGCTTGCTGTTAAGGTTTTAGCCCTACCCTGGCCAGGTTTCTCACAAAGCCCCTGGATGCTCTAGGCCAAGACCAATTTGTCAATGCCAGGTTGTATGATGATTTATGACTCTCTAGTCGAGTGAGAATGCTGGCTACGTTCTCTTTTTCCCTAACTAGCTGTGTTGAACAGAAGCCATTCCAAATCACTAGCTGGCTGAAGTTGTTTGTTGGATTTCCAGGTATAATCAGCATCAATGGCTTTTGTAGTTGAAGGAAAATTTTGGGAAAATAAAATATGAAACTGTTCAAAGCTGCATCACATTATAGTAAATATAACACATCATAGGGGGAGCTGGGCTTGCTGATCTGAAAAAGCTTCTCAGGGTTAAAATTAAAATGTTATTTGGTCAGGTTTTTTCATGTCACATGAGGTACCAAACCTACACCCAAAATACGCCTGTAAAAGTAGCAACAGCTATCCTAAAATGTATATATGTGTAAACGATTCTGCTCACACAAGGTGAACACTTAGGCTCTGATTTCCCTTATCCAAACAGCAAAGAAGTCATGTACAATCTGTAGAAGGGGCTCAAAGGAAAGCCTCATATCTTTAAGAAAAAAAAAATAAAATGAAGGAAAACTGAGGGCAAGAATAGGGAAGCTAGTAGTAAATTAAGAATGCCTTACAAATGTTAGAGTCAAGACTGTAAGACATAAGAAATTTATGAGTAGCAGTGTGAAAAAAGAATGACAGGCATGAGGAAGGTTTAAGTGGCTTTTATGAGCAGCATGGGATAGATGTACTCCGAATAATACCACTTCTTGCCGGGACTGCTGTAGGTAAGATGGTGCTTAATGTGTATGAAAAAGTAAGGATCAGGTCCTTTCTGACAATTCATTACTCTATCAAACTGTTTCTCTGAAGGATACCTTAATTTGTTTTTCGGAATAAGAATTTTCATTCTGGGTTGCTGTAAAGACTGACAAAAGTTCTACAATGAGAAAAGGGAAATATAGCATTGGCCAGTTGGTTTCGTTACATTTTCGTTTTGGTTTTGTGCTTTCATTTTTGGTTTTGGTTGTTCTGGTCTATTTTTGTTTTCTAAAGCAGCCTTCCAGGAGTGCTTTATCAGCAGGGTTACGCTAACGATTGGCTACACTTCAAGTAAGATGAACCTGCATCTATGGTGGTGCAGGGGTGTGGGGGTGTGGGTGGAAAGCAAAAGAAAAGAAGAGCAAAAAAAAAAAACAAACCAACACAAACAAACCATTATTAGCATTTTCTCAGTATCACAGAATCCACTAGCAGGTCAAAGTTGTAATAATTTCATTTCAGAATAATAAAATCAATGCTGAAGAATGATGAAACAACAGCTAGCATGGCTGCTTCGGGTGTTATGATACCATTACAGCAGAATAGCCTATAATTCACTGTAGCTCTTCCTACCATGACTTCACCACCTGTGACAAGTGTTTCTGAATCTGCACACAGAAAAAAAACTCAAATTAAATCTGACAAACACAGAAAGTGTTTTGAGCTAAGTTGTGTTCCCTTTGCAGTTGTTCATTATGGAGTGACCTCCTCTTTTTGTGTCCTACATGATTCACATCCCTGTAGAGGGTGTTTATTGAAAGCTGATAGTTACAAGTGCTGACATTTGCCAGGTTTTATATACCAGGGAAATAAAATAAGAAGAATCTGACAAAAACATTGTAAATAACATGAGAGACCCTTACTAAACCTGTACACTGTATGAATGCAGAGGAAAATTAAGTTACTCTACTTTCAGAAGCTCTTTGTGGTGCTCAATTCCCATTGTCTGAGCGCTATTAGAAGTGCAAGCACATAACTGTAGATACAATGTCAAAGTCATCCACATCATAACAAGGTTTCAGATGCTCCATAATGAAGACTTCATCAGAGAGTGAAAATTATTAGCTCCTCTGATGAATGACTTTTATAAAAATCTTAAAAGTAGAATGTTTGCCAGCTCGATTAATCTTCCTGTGCACAGTCGTTTATGAAGCTTTGAAATCTTAACCATTGGCAACAATACTATAGTTGAAAAAACTCCAAGAATATCAGTTCGATGACAAACAATGATCTGCTAAATAGAGACATGCTGTCCTGACAGCTCTGGTTCAGCTATATGGTATGATATGTGCCAGCAAAAGCAGAAAAGACATTTTGTAGCATCATAAAATTGCTTCCAAAAATGAGCACCCTGCAGCTATTAGAAACTGTGTGAGAATCACCAAATGTCAGCCTCATGCTCAACAACTTTCAATTTAATAAACAGAATTAAGAAAGTAAACGTCATAAGATGCTTCAGAACACCCTTAAGACTTCCATGATGATATTGAGTGCTTGAGAAAGAAAAGGCAACTGTTCACCGTAAAAAAAAAAAAAAAAAGGTGCAGAATTTTGTGTCTCATTTTTGTACCCTGGGACCAATTAAGAGCACTCTGTCATTATTATTGTCAGCACTAGGAACAGTATATGAACAATAATCAATTTACTGACATCCTAATATTGATGATCAGAGGCCTGCAGTGAGGACAGACACACATTGTTCTGGCACTTAACATCGGGATTTTTTTTTTTTGAAATTTTCTTTTCTGAAACAGGTATTTATATTTATCCAATATATTTATCCAATATATTTATCCAATAAATATAAATACCTGTTTCAGAAAAGAAATACCTGAATAAATACCTGGTTTTTTCTAAAGAAAAAAACTGAGACCAGGCAAAAGGAGTATTTCTGTGTACCAGATCCACAATGTGCTGTAGAACTAGCTGGGGAAAAAATAGAATCACTCTTTTTTGTCCTTGAAAACAGTTGTTTAAATACTGCATTTCTTTTTATTCTCCTCTCCCTTTCCTTTTCTTCTTGCTGCCCTCTACTCCCATGGCTGCTTCAGCTCTGAGCATGACTGGTGAGGTGAGAGGTGCCAGGGATGTCAGCAGGCACAAAGACATTCCTGCATCAAACATTTCCTGGCTTATGCCAGACACCACAGTAAAAGAAGTACTCACTGAAGGATACTGAGTTTATCTGGCTTTTACTAACTTTTTTTTTTTTCCAACAGTGCTGCTACTGTTAGAAAGGCATGTAAGATTTACTTCTCCCACAAAAGTCTATATATTGGTCCAGCCGGAGTTTTTTATCAGAGCAACTCAGTTTCAGACTCATGTTTCTTCACCCAGCCAGCTCTACCAGAAATATTACAAAATGCTGTAAATCTATGATCCATTTATGATAATAAAAGAAAAGGTAGCTGCACAAGTCCTGAAAGATCTTACCCTCAGCTAAAGATCTTGGAGGTGTAGTACTTTTACTGTTAGTTTCCACTTAATTAATTGACATCAGTTCCTATGAAAATCATTCCTCCTAAATCCCTCGTAACGTATCAGCAACTAAAAGCTGAAATTGGTATCTGTTCTCTTTCACAGGCCCATGTAAGACTGCAAGGAATATTAAAATATGGAAAAGGTTGTTCTTTGAATATTCTTAGTTAGCAACAAACTCTTGTGAAAACACTTGGAACGTGGGTAACTCCTAAAAGATCCCAAAGCACATATGGACTATGATAGAAGGAAATCCAAAGCTCCATGTTTGGAAACAGGTTTTTATGTACACAGACGTTCAAGTACAGGAAATCAGAATATGTTTGAATGTTGCATGGCTGCAAGGTACAAAGAATAGAAGGAGAGTCTTCTGACAGACAAAAATCTGCTACAGAGATTACCCAGGAACCTAATGCTTGGTCTTGATTTAAAAAAATGCTAATATTTTACCATAGATTTCACCAGACACAAGATTTACTTGCAAGTTAACACTATTCAGAGTTACTTACTATTTCAGACGTTTTAAGGTACATTCCCGTGCTGCTATTAATATGTGTACATTGAGGAAGAGAATCATGTCTGGCAGAGTAGACACGGGTTGCAACACATGGCCATAAGCCTTCTGCAATTGTGATCATTCACTTTGAGTTTCTCAGGCTCTGTGTACTGGGCTGAAACGTTCAAATCGAGACTCATCAGTGGCTCTCCCTTACTTACAAATGCTCTAAAGGCACCCAGCGACCTAGTTTAAACTTGAACCTCATATTCCACATTGATCAAACATTAAAGTGAACTTGTGTAAAACTCTGAGTATGATGCACCTAAGCCACCTTTCTGGCCAAAGAAGGAAAAAAATACAAAAGCCTCATTACAAGCCTAACAACAAGGTAGAAAATATGTAGATGAAGCTTATATCTGATAGTAAAAAAGAAGAGAAGGAAGAATGAGATGGGTAGGCTGAAGCTAGTTAGAAGCCTGTAACAGCAGAGTAAATGCAAAAGATTTATTTATCAGAATCTGCAATTCACTGGAAGGTCTGGGGGACTGGAGAAGCAATGGCAGAAAGAGCTTTATTTTAAATACATACAGAATTGAGTGCCACTCATTTTAAGATAGGGTGCAAGGGAGACAGGTCTGCAATAGCTCAGGAGGAGAAAGCGTTTCAGGCAATTGGTGATTAATTGTGCTCTGCTATGCCACATCTCTTTCTATTAAACCTTAGATAGCCAAATCTGTTTCCTAATTGTTTTTGTGTTTCTCAGTCTTCCTTTTGTCTTGCATTGGAGAAGGCAATATCTATGCCATCAATATCTCATTAAGGGGGCCTGGGATGTGAAATGCCTTGTTCTGTTTTTAATTTTGTTTTCCAGGCTTTTTGCTACATTTTATGACATGGCATTTTTTGTTTGCTTGTTGTGGTCCATTTATTCTCTGGCATTCCCTTTCCCCAGGTTATAGCTTTATTTGTTTCTTTGGCTGTTGGCACTCGAAGTGTATGTAAATTATTGCTACATGCTTCACCATCACTACCTATTGCTCTTCATTTCCCCTAATGACATTCTCATCTGAATGCTAGTGCCTGTTCAGGTTGTATATGTGTAGAAAACAACTTCAACTCATCCGTGAGGTCTTTTTTTTTTTTTAATTCTTTTTCTTGTTCTCTCTTTCCCATTGCAGTTTGCATTAGACTTATATGCACGAGGTAGGGAATACAGCTGCGTGCTTTCTGCCTCAGGCAAAATCCTGCTGCCACTAGTGCAAGTAGGAGCTTAGAGGAAAAAGGAAGGGCATTCACACAAATAGCTAATCAAAGGGTTTTTAATGACACTCATTAGGAAAGAAATTCATTAACAAGCCAGCACATGAACATTCCCTGAAGGGAGTGATGTTATTGGTCACAACAAAGTCCCCACCTGACTAACACCTTTATTGCTGTTCATAATAAGGCCAAGTTAGCAGCAAAATCAGTGGCATTCAGTTCCTGCCAAAGAAAAAACCAGCAAAGCATGGTTATTGAAACTAGATCAGTTCTGGTTTACTAATAAGAATGACTTTTCAACTCTTCACAGGGATGTGTAGTTCAGCACCCACCACTGAGGCTTTTGAATTCATACAATTTTACATTTCCTACCCTTCATTCTTTACCCCATTCTTTTTCTCTCTCATTCTATTTGGGACAATGTGCTGCCCATGGTAGTGGTGCAGGCCCATGGCACCATAAACCTTGGATGGAGGGATGCCTTTTAGAAGAGAAGTCTGCAGAAGGGGACCTTATTGCAGGGTGCAGTGGGGAGCTATGCTAAACTGTAGGCAGATTATTCACCTGGACAAGGTACCAATCCAGGCACACCAGAGCTTACACCTCCTACTCAGGACAAACACAGCCTCTGAACATCAGAGCCATTTCCAATTTGCAGGCATGTAACTGCCTTTTTTTAATGCTCACACCATTACTTAAGTATAAAAGGGACTCTATTTTTCTGCCAACTCATTCCTAGCGATTAGTATTGGTATCTTGGGAAGCTCATTTGCTCTGCAGAAATTAGGTTTTTAAATAGACTGTACTAGAAATTTCACTTTTATTGCAGTGCCCTGATACAGTAGAGCTCAGTTATTAGAACAAATTGGAGCAAGCCGCTTCCTGGTGGTTATTCCCACGTAATTACTACAGGCTGATACATGAAACCATGCTTCACTCTTAGGCTCAGAGGCGAGATCTCCATCTTGCAAGGACAGAGCAAGTTCTATTATGCATTTTACTGCCAAAGGAGGTCAATTAAGTTTAATTGGTTCTAATTAGCACTTGCTCAAGCTGTTATATTCTTTACCTGCATCCGAGTGGCTCTCCAAGTACTGCACAATGGATTCCTGCTTTTGAACACAAAGGAGAATTACTAATGGCATCCTTGAAGGCAAAAGATGCACTGATCAGCATAAGTGGAGAACAAACATCAGCACAAATAGTAGCGGGCCTTTTTAGAAAAAAACAAAACACAAACATTTCATCCCCATCTGGCTTTGATCAATTGAACTGAATGCAACTGTGCACCGGTTTTTTTTTGTTTTGTTTTTTGTTTGTTTGTTTGTTTGTTTTTGTTTTGTTTGTTTTTGTGATTTTTGTTTGTTTGTT